ACGAAAAATATACAACTTTAAACGTAAATCAAATTATTTATAATATTTGTATTTGCCCAAAACCCAATGCGGAATCATGAATATACATAATAAATATTTAAAAAACAACATCAACCGCGGGAATTTACCTTGGCCTGAATCTGAAAATATAAATGCATAAATGTACTAGTATATGGTGTCATTAAATCATTTATTTCATGTAAATATTTTATAATTGCAATTTACTTGTGTGTGTGTGTATGTACATATTTGCTAGAGTTCGAAAACAACAATAACTACGCTATAGTATAGGTCCTGGTCTGCCTTTTACTCTCTTCTAAATAGAAGTGTGCCTAAGTTTAAAAGGAAAACTAACTAGATTTCAGTGTGCTTTCTCGTGAGTTTCCTCTCCGTTTCTATAAATATGTATTTTTTGTTGTTTCAATAATACTTGAACTTTATATTCATTTCCAAGCAAAACAAGACCTTGTCTGTCGACTCTACTCGTATGTGTTGTGGTTTATAATGGTAAAAAAACGCATTCAAAAATGTTTAATAATTATTCTGAATTGATTTTGTTGTGGATCAGGATCTCTCCATCATAGCCTTGAAATATATTTACTGTTTATATAGTCGATTGGTGTCAAGTTTGAATGTTAGTTTGAAGACAAATGCGCCAAAGACTTACGAGTAGATAATTATGAGTTGTTAGGTCGATTGGAAATTGTCGTTTGTTATTGCATACGTTACTTATGTAGATTGGTTGATTTTGTTGATTATTGGGTGTTCTTTTATTAAGGTTAATTTAATCAATATTCGTACGAAAGTTAAGGCAATTAAATCTAGGCAATATGTTGGTAAATATTTCAGTTTTTTTTGTTTACCATTATAAAGAAGACAATTGAGGGGGACCCGTTTGCACCTGGCAGTGATGCACTGCATTGATATTGATTGAAAATTGAACATTTTGTCTAGACGTGATTAGAACTGGCTTGATTAGTAGTTGCCCTATTGCGGCTATAGAATTATGATGTATGTAAGTATATATAAGGTGTATATATCTATATATATTGTGTATGTTTTGTATGGTGTATAGCTAGAACTATTTTTCAAGTCAATCATTGGGCTTACATGCTAGATAATCTTATGAAATAGGCTTAGTTTCAGTTACAATTCTGCTCGGATTTTATGGCTGCAAGACCATTTGACATAAGAAACTCGATAACATTTAATGCTAATTAGATTAGAAAGATTTGAAGTACCTAGAGCAGTCAAGGTCCTGGCCGAGGCTCAGGCCCAGTCCGCCTTCGGATCATGTCTAATTCATAAATCTAGTGTAAAAGTTGAGCTTTTTTAGTCTCTGAGACATCACTATCACTCTCCTTAGGTGCTTTCTTCTCACAGAACTCGATCATATACGAGCAGACGCCGGAGAGTGCTATAAATATGCCCGCATAGTAGAAGGAGTCGTCCCATCTAAATGAAAAGGCGATAAAAAACAAATCAGTCATGGATTGATTTAGCTACAAAATGCATTCTACTTTTATATACATACCTTCCCACACACTCGTATATAAGCCCCGCTATGGGGGGCCCGGCTATCATGCCCACACCCTGCACCAGCAGCACCAGACCGTAGGCACATGTGAAATCATCCAAATCAACAATACTGACCAGTATGCTGGGCGTAAACGAAAACGAGCTGGCGAAGGTAAACCCGAAGATCACGCACATGGCCATCAGACCATTGTAGCTGGTCATTAGCATCGGCATAAAGAACACAGAGGCTCCGCACACTGTCAACAAAATGCAAGAAGATTGATTAGGAAATTATCCCTTGATCAAAACATTCAACTTACCCAGCATGCAGAGGGAGTAGCATATGTTGATATTCATCCAGGGCTGGTCGCCCACATAGCCCAGTCCTATCATGCCCACCGTTTGGGCAATGCCAATAGCTGATATCAGAACGGCACTCACATTCACATCGTAGTTATATTGCTTCATGTAGTCGGGCAGATACAGATATGGGATGATAAACCTGCGGAACGTGCCCCAAAACGGAGATTAGAAGCGTTATCAGGAAAAGGTTTTCTTTGAACTAATTTTCAACCAGTATCCTTATCGAGATGCCACATTTATGCTCTGAATATGGAGTAGTGTAACCCATGGGTGAACCATCTGTGATCTCATCGATAATATTGATCTTGGGAGTACTCTTCATATATTTTTATTGCTGATCCATTTGTTGCTCATTTATTGTATAACAAAAACATTTTGAACAACTGCCAAAAAGAGCTTTGCGACATCTGCTGGCAACTGTACAATTATGGCGCATTCATCTAAGTATTAATTTTAGCATTTTTCTCTCCTTCGCGCTCTGCGCAGATTCCGAGGCCTTTGCTAATCGGTAGGCTAGGTTAGCGTATGCTTGGGCCGGGTACTTACCAAATGAACAGAAACAGTGTCGAGAGGTTGAAGAGGGCGAACTTCAGGTCGAGAAACATTGAGAAATCAAAGACGGACTTCATTGTATCCACAAAGCTTTCGTACCAGGTCTGTGGAAAGGGAAAGCACACGGAGAACCAACATTTTCTTTAGGGTTTTCTTTTTCTTCTTGTAAATAGAATAATAGGCAAATACGGAAGCCTAAACGGCACCTTATCAGGCGTATAGTACGATGCTTTTATGGTCCAATTATGTACAACGTACACATATAGAGAGAGAGTGAGTGAGTGAGCACGAGTGAGCGCTGATAACTCTCAATAAGTAGCTGAGGCCTTTGGCTGGCTGTTGTCATGCCAAAGCCCACTGATAAGGGACAACCAGGGAATGAGACTACTTACATCTTCCTCTTCCTTGGCGATGGTGGTCATCGAGTTGCGGTAGATGTTGGGGCAGGAGGACGCCCGCAGCCGGTAGCGGTGCGTGTTGAGCATGGCCCCGCGGTAGTGTATGGAATTGCGATGGATTCGCATGTCCTTCAGGAAGTTGGAGTTGCGAATCGAAATGTTGCGGCGCAGATTCGAGCGGTACTGGCTGGGCTTCTTCGACCTGGACAGTCGGCGGATGCCCGTGATGCTGTCGAGACGGGCGCGACGCAGGGCCACCTCATTGTTGGCCGTCTGTTCTCGTTCCGGAATGGCTATCACAGTGGGGCCGGGACGCCGGCCATGGTCCAGCAGGGCGAATGTCTCGTCTTTGTAGTAACAGTGCATGTCCTCGCTGAGGATGTCCACCGAGTTGTGGCGCAGACCATTTACCTTCAGGTTGGAGATAGACGGAGTCGTGTGCTTGGCCATGAAGAGATTTTCGTTGAGCGAGTACCGGGAGCTGGCGTGCTTCTGGGTAAGATAGCCCTCGTCCGAGGAGCGTACCGAGCCGATGGGGCTCGAGCGCTTCTCCGACGGCGACAGGGTCTCGATGGAGGCTAGATAACTCTTCTTGGCCGCTTCCATGGCCTCCTGCGCTATTCCGCCCATTAGGGTGTCGTCCGGCGAGCCAATGATGGCCGTAGACGGAGGATATCCACCCGCTCCCGACGACATGGACAGCAGATTTTCACGCGACGGCGCCTCCACACCCTCCTTGTGCCTGAGGGAACGCCGACTCAGGCTCTTCACCTCACATATGCTGTCCAGCTCCTGGATGCTCAGAAATGTCGGCAGAAACATCTCGCTGCGATAACGCTTGAGGCTCGTGTCCAAGGGATCGTCAATTTGCTGGTTGGCTTCCGTGTTGTTCTTCGTCACAAGGCTGTCCAGGACAGCCTCCTTGGTGATGCCCGTGTCCAGCAGCTTCTTGATCTCCTCCAGGCACACGCTCGAGTTGGAGAAGGTGGTCACGCTCTGGGAGCGGCTCTCCAGGCGGTTCTCCTCGATCAGCCAGTCGGGGTCCCGCATCAAAGCACCGCAGACACAGGCATTCAGCATGGTGCCACCCAGGATGAGAGTGGCTCCACGCCACCCGTACGACTCGATGAGGTATGAGGTGAGACGGGCGTAAACAAACGTTCCGATGCCCGTGCCCGAGGCTCCGATGCCGGTGGCAAAGGTCCGCTTCTTGTCAAACCAGAAGGCAATGGAGACGACGGCAGTGACATAGCCAATGCCCAGTCCCAGGCCCGAGATAATTCCAAACGTCACCATCAGCATCTCGATGGAGTTGCAGAAGGCGGACATGGCGAACCCCACAGCGGACACAAAGCCCCCTATGATGGTCATCTTGCGGCATCCGTACTTGTCCACCAGATTCGACCAGATAGGCCCCATCAGCAGGGGAACGGAGAAGAACAGTGACGAGATCCAGGCCGTCTTAGAGGTGGACTGCCCAAAGTACTCCAGCAGCTCCGCATTGATCAGGCCAAAGGAGAAGGACAGACCGTCCGCTATCAGAGAGACCACCAGGGAGGCGAACACCACCACCCAGCCGTAGCCGCCGTCGGGCATCTTCGGGGTCTTCTTCTCCGTCGAACTGGAGTCTATCGAGTCGCCCGACTCGTTCGATATCAGCCGCTTGCGCTTCTTCACCTGGCTTCCGTTCATCAGGCAGGTGAGGTTCCCCTCCCCGTCGATGGCTATGATGCTCGTGCGCACCACACGACTGTGTCCGGCCTCGTCGGCCAGCTCCTCCGCTGACAGATTGCAGAAGGTCACCTCCGGGAACAGGTCGTGCTTGATGGCACGGTTCAGTGGTGTATTAGCCGGGGCCGGCACCGGGCTCTCTGGCAGCACTTGATAGGCTCCCCCATTCTGCTCGCTGTTGTTGTTGGCCGCCTCCGCACTGTTATTGTTGGAGGAGACGCTGGGAGCCGTTGTGGGCTTGGCCATGATTAGGCCTCGATAGATAAGTGCTACTTAAGTGTTTCGGTTTTGGTATTTGTTTTTGGGCTAATTTGTTGCGTTCTAAGAGTAGAAAATCTCTGTAAAAAATGTTGCACTTTCTAGAAAAAGCAATTATTGGGATTTGAACACGCTTAGTTGCATTTCAGCATTGATTTCAGTTGAATTTTCTTCCTTTTCTTCCAGTTTTCTTGCAGTGCAGTGTGCTGTTGGGGGGCGGGAAAACAGTAATTATTTTAGCTTAATTTTTAAATAAATACAAATCTGCATCCCCTTCCGATTTACAATAATAATAAAAAGTACAACAACAAGAACTACTAGGTGAATACATTTCGTTTATAAAATCGCGCAGAAACTGGCATTTTCGTCACTTGGCATTTACCCCATACGAGCGGATCCGTTAATCGCCTTCAACTTGACCTCAAAGAAAATACTAGTATCTGAGCAGAAATTAAGCGAGAGAGAGATAGAGAGAGAGAGAGAGAGAGAGAGTGTGCCTGGGGAGAGCATGCCCATTGAGTATGTCAAAGAAAACAGCTGATCCCCGAACATAATAATAAACAAAACGGGGAAAAAATAAATAATAATTCAATTTGTGGACTGGTTTTGGGGGTTTGTTTGAGTGGCTAATTTTAGCCCCTGACATACATACAAATGTACGTGTGTATTTAAGTACAAACTTACAGACTTTATCTCCTATATTTTTGAGGTGGATAGCCAGACACACTCAATGAGAGGTTGGGGGGAACCGGACAGACACAAAAGCAGTTACTGAAAGCTCAATTGGATGCTAGCTAGCATGAAAAACACTATTTAAAGGGGTTTTTGTCAAGGGTTTTTGGGTTGTCTTACCTTTTATCCTGCAAAAGCCACATGCACACTGATCCGACCCTGGGGCAACAGGAGAACCTAGAAGCGTACCAAAACTGTGATCGAACGTTGCACTTTAGTATTTCCAGCACTGTTTTCCACTGTCACTATTTATTTGTGTTTACACACTGCGAATACGAGTACGAGTATTATTGCCGCCAATTAATTCACCATAATTGCACAGATCTTCAGTTATATTCAGTTCGCTGAGGGTGTAGCGACTATGTTTTAAGGGTTTATTGAGGGCGGCGGTTCGCTGGAGGATTCTTAGGCGCGGATCGCGTGGTATATAGTGGAGAAACACTTTGTTCGATTTGCTGCTGTTGTTGTAAGTACGAGGATTGTTGTTCTGGCTCTTGTCGCACGATTTTGATGCGGCAGCTCCTGTTGCAGCTCCTGCGGCGGATGTCGTTTTGCTGGCACGATAAAATGACTTGAACCGAATGTCATTCATTAAGAACGTTAGGGGGCTTATCACTGGCCAACGGAGAATATATTGAACAATAACTGATGGCAACTGTGGCTGCTTGCTACCGATGCTGTTGCTGTTGCTGCTGCTGATGATGTTGCTGTTGCTCTTGTGGCAGTTGTGGTTGCCAGTGAACAGTTTATGCCTTGGCACCTTCATGCGGGGGAAACCAAACAACACTTTTCGATGCCAATAAAAAGGAACTTTGCAACAGCAAAACAAAACAAAATAAGAAAACTAAGGGGAACGCCTATGAATGATGCCTGGGTTCTGCTTCTGCTTCTGCAGCTGCTGCTGCTCCTGTGGCAGGTGGGTGCACGTTGCCTCTCCTGCTCTGCTCTGCTCTGCTCTGCACTCCACTCCACTCCACACTCCTCTGGTGAGGCCACGTGGGGGGTTTAACGCGTGTCAAGTGCGCGGCGCACAGTGCGGGGGCGGACGGGCGAACATATCGACGGCGTTTCTTTCAGTTCTGTGCTGGATGTCGTATGCTGAACAAAACTTAAATATTATGTAACTCAATCGCTACTTTTTCTGCTGCGTTTAGGCGTGATGATGATTTATGGTTTATGGCTCTCGATTAGCTGCCAATGCTGATTGATGCTGCAAGAAGAGAGAATGAACAGAGAGTTAGTCGAGATTCTACGGATGAATGTCTTTAATTGGAGCACATCGCTTTCGATACGACAGCAATAGCAGGGCAAAGGCACAACACATAATAAATTCGACAAATGGCGCCGCCACATCACCCACACATAAATTACCATACAAATATATGCATGTACATATGGTACTCTCCTTATATCAAGCAATTCCAACTCGTGAATTGCCAAACAATGCAAAACAGATTTTTCGAGTGTTTCATTCATTTGGACACATGACAGCGTCGAATGCCTGAAGCGGCAGGGTAGATGATGCTCAGTTGTGTACCTTGGAAAAGCCATACACAGGCTAGTATCGACAAGAAAACTTTATAACATATCTGATATCTGATAGGAGTTTCTATCTGTATCCTAACCCGAGCAAAAGTCAGCTCAGTTTTCCATTTGAATGTCACTTCCTTAGTTATTTGGCACAGATTAGACACACAATTCTGCAGCCATTCATTGCTTTGGCTATTGCACATTGACCAACTTAATGGGGCCCCTCTGAGGATTGCCAAGTTCAACGCTCGATAGGCGCGAGTGATTAAAAAAATCGTATATTACCGTACCCAAGTAGACAATATGCAGGCGGAACAGAGCGGAGCAGGGAAGAAGAAAGAGCTGACTAAATGGAACGGGACAAAATGAGAAATAACGTACGTAAACAAGAAACGACTGCGCGTATTTTTTGATTGCTGAGATTTTCAGTGCTAAAAAAAGACGAACCGTCTGATTTCCGACTTTAGCTAGACAACGAAATTGTCCTCTTATCAGAAATCAAATTCGAATCTCTAGTGTATGTATGTATGTACGTTGAAATCGTATAACTACAAGTAGAACAGTATGTCTTTTTGGTTGAACTGCTGGGTGATGGGTACACTGGTAATAGTTGCCGCTGGCTTATCTTTACAATATAATTGACAGAAACATTGTGGCATGTGATAAGCTCAGAGATTTGATAACGATATGGAGATAAAGGGAGAGGGAGAGTGCTGTGTCCAACTGACTTTACAATTACATATATTATCCGTGATCCGAAACGACACGGTCACGTGATGGATCCCTACGGATCTCTCAGTCTTTCATAGATCACATATTCATATCTTCGACTTACATTTTCGACTCAAACAATATCACAATTAATTCAACATTTTCTGCATTTTCAGCACATGCGCCTGTTTGTATGCCACACTTTCGAAATGCACTTCTGTTCTCTGACTGAGCACTTTCACTTTGTAAAGCAAATCATGCTTGAAACTTAAGACCCACATCTTGTTTAGTGTATATCAACTCAAACACAACACAACAACAGGCCAAGCCAAGACAAAGAAAATAAAATAAAAACTTGTAAGTTACGATGATGATGCCCACAAAAAGAACAACAACAACAACGAGCACAATTTGTAAAGTTGAACTCGGAATTGGACCCGGGTTTGACCGTCGTCGTTGTTGTCCGAGCGACGGAACAGAAATGGGCCTGAGATTGAGACGGGCGCAAATCAGAATGGATTGGAACGGAATGATATGGAAAGGAACGGAACGAAACGGCGACAAGGCTGCCGAGTAATCTGTAATCGCGGCAATCGTTTGCCTTAATCTAATAAATTTCTTATCAAAGCGCGTCGTTGCTTATAGTATTTAACATTTTTTCTGTATAAATGTACATACATATGTATGTACATAAGCACGCGTTGTCGTCTGTCAACTTGAACAGTCTCTTGTGAGGCGGAGCTCTCCGTCGGGTCTCTTTTGGCATGCGTAGATCTACAGATTGATATAGATGTATGCATGCATGTATGTATGTACATGCATATCAACATGTGTAGTTAAAAACTTTTATATTTATATGTATACAAATCAAGTCAATCATGCCACTGAGGGTAATTGGTATTCTAGTAGTTGGAAAAGCAGAGTATCCGACAGCAACCCTGAGGAATTAGATTTATAAAGATATTTGATTATCTTGGGAAACTTTAAGCAAACTAAATTAATTTGTGGGCCCATTACATTAACCAAATATATTCTATAGCTAATTAATTTTAGTGCAACAATTAAATTCAAATAAATACGAGTGTACAATGGGAAAGCATAGAAAATGCACTCGAAATATCAATAGAGCTCTTGAATAGTTAAGTTTTATTAGCTCATTAAGCTGGATTCGCTTTGATTTAGTGTCATTTTTAGTTTTAAGCCACACAGTTAAATAAGTTGGAAAAGATCCAAGCTTTGTACGTACTCTAATTATTTTATGATATTTTAGAGATAAAGTGCACTAAAGATCCTACGACACGGGGGCTTCGTAAATTCTAGCCAGTCGTTAATTGTGAGGTAATTTTAGAGCTAGACGACGGGGTTTTAGCGATAATTTTTATGGACCCAATTGTGATAATGGATTCTTTCGTGGCCGGAATTTTAGTTTGATGCTGACCTAGGGTTTTTGCTCTGATTATAATATTGCTATATGAGGGGGTTCTATAACTCTAGTTTAGGCTGGGGAAATTATCCAAGAAATTGCGCATTAAATAGTGTTTGCATTGTACCTCAGGGAATATATATCATCCAAGGGAACCAACAAAATTGATTTAATTTAATTGTGCTGGTGAGTCGCCTTCATGTTTTAATTGAAAGACTCAAACAAATTGATTGAGCCATCTGGAATCAGGGACAAGCCCATCACCTTGAATTGAATTGTATTGCTGCGCTTTCTCATCAGCTACAAGTATTTTCCAACCCGGGAACCCACCGAACACACAACCCTGACCTTGCTAAAGTGTTTGTTTAGTTTAAGAAAAAAATAAGCAGAAATGCGTCTCCTAATGGCATGTAATGTATGACATCCCCACGTCCATTGAGAGCTCAGGAGCACTCACTGCAGTCTCAAAGTAATCCGATAAAGAGACAGAAGCAGAGACAAGCGACCGGCTCCCATCCTCTTTATTTTCGATTTGCTGTGCTCAGTCGCTTTCTCTCCTGCCAACGGCTAAGGTGACGTGTGTAATTGATAGTGGGGTGCAGCGCCAAGGTGTATTTTAATGTAGACCCTAAATTGCGACTGTTTTGAGCAGACCTGGGTGTACGCCTCACCCTATATTAATGCACCTTGCAGTGCACACCTTCCGTCCGGCTCACTCTCACGCATCGTAGGTGTCAGCTTTTAATTGATTTGCGGTATTTACGTTTTGTTTGCGGCTGTCAATTGAATTGTGTGTGAGTGGGTGTGCATCACCAGCCGCAACCCCAAAGCCCCGTTTCTGTTGCACTTGTCGTTGAAGAGGATTTAAGGCTTGATTCCCCTTCTCAGCCGTTTGCCAAATTGGCCAAATGACATCCCAGGGTCGAAAACTATTAATAATGTACAGAATGTGTGTGCATATATGAATATTTTTGTTGTTGGAAAGAATTCCATATTGAAAATATTGATTTTCTACATAATGCTAAGTGACTTGTGTTTCATATGGGGCTGACAGTGCAGTCCAAAGTTTTTAATCTCTTTATCGCATCCGCCCCACTTCAACTTGACAGCTTACGTCACCGAAAAACATGTTGACTAAGCCAAAGAAGAGAAAAATTACAAGAGCGGCAAACTTGTGCATTGCATACACAGACAAAAAGGTGTCACCGTAGTAAGTGACACACCATGCACACACACACACACTGGCACACCACACCTGCGGCATCCTTTCATGTTTCATGTCGAGGACTCGGGCTCAAGGGACATCAGCAAAAAATGTATGACGTGCATATAAAAACAGCATTTCCACACACACCCCCCCCCCCCATACACACACACATACACTAAAACAATATTTACTACAGTTACCGTTAGTACTGTTTTTGTAAGCTAAAGGATTGTGTATGCTTTTTGCCTTAAACTTGACTAACTTAGCGGTCAAAAATGAAAAAAGGAAAGAAGGAAAACCGCCAGAAAATAAGGTTTTATATTGATTTTTTTCTCTCTTGCTGCTCTGAGGGATATATTTTTGCTGTGTAGTATGAGTGTGTGCTTGTTTGAGAGGAGGACATGCATACTAAGTGAGATTTACAGTTAATAGTTGTCCTTTTTTTTTATCTCATTTTCTATGTTTTGTGGGAAAAACCACTGTAGAGCTGGTGTTGAAGTTTCTCTGAGTCCCACACATTAATCCATAATAACACATACATAAACTAATTAGAAAATAATTAACTTTGTCAGGGGAAAAAATAATTGGTTAAATTATGAAACGCAATTTCTCGTCTTCTCTTGTCAGGCTTAAAGCAGAAAGGAATTCACGAACAAAAAAACAAAAAGAGCCGGACCAAGACAAATGCCTTTGTTGTGCCCATATTTTGGTGTTCACCTCGTTTGGGTTTGAAAAGGGCAAACTTTACGCTGGACGGAGCGCACTTTCAGCTGTGCGTGTAAACAATCCTCAAGGCTGAGTGTTTTTTTGCTTTCTAATTTCTGCTCTTGACATGGAGTCACACAGCCCATGCAAAGTGCAAAATGCAAATTAGAAAAACAACTAATATAACTTAAGGTACATATATAAATTCAACCACTCATGCATACATAACGTCTATATTTGGGTGGTGCAATGCAACTCTAGAAAATTCTAGAATTCTATGAATTAAAATTGAAACTAAAATGAATGAATAATTCATCTCATCGATCATTTCTGCCCCAACAATAATTTAATTAGGTATTTCAGCATACACATTTCTGTGATTGGTGAGATGCGAGTGAGTCTAGAGAAAATTCATTTTTAAAATTCACTTTTTTTTTTTGGCTTGATTTATAGATAAGCCATAAAGGACATTTTACTCGGGATGTTCATACACATATACAATGTACGTACATAATTATATATACATAAATTTCCCTTCGCGTCAAGCTAGCCAAAGTGAAATCTGGCACTGTCTGCTGCCTGCGGAGGGGCTTGGGGTTTGTTTGTTTGTTTTTGCCAAGTTTTGTGTCGCTGCTCATGTGACAGCTCGAAATGAACGAATCGTTTCGTTGTTTTGCTCTTAATTGCCACTCCACTTACCCGGCAAATGTATACGCTGGCGATAAATTCGTTTCGTTAGTGTTTTCGCTGTTAAGGCATTCGCATTCGTTTTCCATTTCAAACCATAAACAAATCAACCGCAAAACACGAGTAATAATCAATTAGGAGAAACTCTGTAGAAGGTCGAGCGGTCGGGGTTTGCATTTCCTGTTGCTCTTCGATCTAATATTCTGTGGTGGTGTTTATGTTGTTGCGGCTCACTCGAAACTGAAACTACGAATGACGGTGCGTTCGTTTTCCATTTGTTCCTTCTTCATAATTTGTATTCCATATCTTTCCATATCTTGCTCAGACTCCTTTATTTCTCGTTCTCCCTTTCCTGTTTGGAGTTTACAGTTTCAATGTGTCTTCCCTTCTACTAATACTTTGTATTCCCTCTCCCTCTTCTGCCCTTTACTCTTCTGTTTTGTTTGTACGGGGGTTCGTGACGCAATGGAAATTTACCAGTTTTACCAGAGAGATCATTAAATTCAATGGCATGTCTTCAGCTCTTTTGTGTGTACAATCCTCCCCTTCCCATATGGAGTGCATAAATACCAGGAATACTTTTTGTTTATTTCAGCTGTGGTAGGAATGTTCTGGAAAGCTATTTGTGATATGTTGCTTACTTTACAACTCGGCTGGACATAAATTTCATACAAATTATTCCAATTGGCTGACCGTAGAGCAGTCGTGGCCTGTGTTAGTTATTCATTCTTTCCTCTAATGAAATAAATTAATGGTTACAGTTTGAAAGCTAAGCCAAGTTGAAGGTTCATTCTACCACAAAAGATGAATGCCTAAATTGCATGCTGCATTAAGTTGGAAGGTTACGAACAGAGGCACGCTACAGGCATAAGCTACAAAATGCAAATGGAATTGCAATCAGTAATGTTCAAGAACTGTTGCTCTATTCCATATGCATGTGAATCGATAGTATACATATATGTATGTTGTTCATATGTACAACATATGTAAACCAAATGGAAACAATCAAGCAATTTATTCAGCTTTGACAGTAGATATGACTAACAAACAACATTCATACTTCCTCGAATGATGTGATTTAAGCTCTTCCAATATTTGATATGCCCACACGCAATACGAATATGAGGGACGGGACGCATTAGATAAGATAAAATAAGTTATTTTACTTAAAACAAAACAATAAATACTGTGGTTGTTCACATGACTGCAGAATACAGCTTAATTTATGGCAAATGTACATTTTAGTGCCACAACTATAGAGAGTATATCTTCTTCAAAGATTACTCCTTTTGGGTAATTAATAGAATCAATTGACCTGCTTCTCATTCGTAATCTGCGTGTTTGTAATGATTATCGCCATTAGCTATAATTAGCACAATTTGTGCCTGAAGTTCCCCCTCCGCTGGCGACAGGTTGGAACCGGTTCTTGGGTATATTTTTATTTTTTGCTCGATTTGCACGCAATCAGCTGGTTTGCTCTTTGCTACCTTTAACATTCGCTGCTGACACACATTGTCTGACAGACAAATGCAAAAAAAACAACATGCCAGAATAATATTAAATGCACAAAGGCCTTACCGGTTCGTTAGAACTGCTACTGCCGCACCGAAGCGATGGACGCTGATTGGTGGGATGGCATTCGCATTTGCTTATTTACATGTAGTACATATAAACACACGTACGTATGTACGTATAATGTTAGGAGTATGTCAGTTTGAGGTCAATGGCTTCGTAGAATCAGATACATATGTACATACGAAAGTTCATATCCAACTCTAAGCAAATTTCGACTTCCAAATGCACAAATCGAGAGCTCAAGGACGGCAGACAAGAGAATGGTTTTCGATTACAGTAAATCAAATTTGCTGAGCCATAAAGCCACGAAAAGTACAAACAAAATCGACCAAAAACTGAAGCCCAACAAATGTCTGCCCCATGTCCCATCATTCCAAAGGGACTATCACCATGCATGAGTGGACAACTGAAGGGAGGCAAACACAAAGGCAATAAAACCCAAATGAGTGGTAGAGCAAAACGGCGGCGTGTGTAGGTTTCGTTTGGGAGGGTAGGAGGTAGAAAGAGGAAAAATCCAAAAACTGTGTTAGGGCCTACCAACAGCATCTCTGTTTTTGATTTATGCCTCCCACACTCTTTCGGCTTATGTTAATTTAGCCACGAAGGATAACAGAGGTGCTTTGCCAGAAATTTTAAAGCTGTTATTGTCACGCATGAGTTCTATCTGTGGCAGCAATAAGGTACTAAAATCTTTAATGTTGAAACTCACAAGTCAAAGTACAAACGTTCTTTTTTATCAGAGCCTGCTGAGTCAGTTCATTGAAGACACGTACCTTGCACGCAGTGCAACTCTCAGCATAATAATTTATGAATATAATTCTGTTTGAAAAGTTTGTGGGGGCTCTGCCAATAAATAAATGTCTGTATAATGCTTTCGGCAGTCGTGCCCAATTGGATTTAAATATATACACACTTTGCTGACCTATAAATAGACAACACACACTCGATCACACTCGTAGACGCAGACATTTCATAAAGATAAACAAATGAATTATTGTTAACTCATTGCGCCTCAAAATAAAAAGCAAAGCAAACAAAATATGAACTTATTTATCAGAGACCATAAGACCTGGGTGATATCTTGAAATATTTATCAATAGGCCAGCAATGAGGTCAATAAACATTCAAAATCTAAAACGTTTCTTACCTGAGTACTTTTTTAAGTTGAATTGATAGTGAAAGCTCTTCTGGAGTCGTGTGTTTAGATTACAACCATTTTATTTTAATTGTGATCTTTCGTCATTTATGCCGTTTACATTGGAAGGTTGAATGATTATTTTTGGTGTACTTGTTGTTGAAGTGCGGGGCGGTGCCGCGGTGCAGGTGAGTCTTTAAATAAACCAAATAAGCGCGCTCTCTCCCCTTCTTCTATGCTTTTTTTGTCGTTCCTCTTGCGTCAATGATTCTGTTTGCCGTTGTTTTATAAATTTTTCCCTCTGTTTCCCTCTGCACAGTGGAACGAATATTTGTGCGGCGCGTGTCAAATACGGCACTGTCTCTGAATTATAATTTCGCGTCGAGCGCTTTAATGTCAATGCTGAATGACTTTTTATTACTGATTGTATGATATTGCACAACACATTGGAAGCACCTTTGTTGGAGTGTTTCTGTAGCTGGTTTGACAGGGATAGTTTCTGGAGAGCTGAGGGACTTCGCTGGAGTTTCACTCTGCGTGAGTTTCGCCTTTCTTCGTAGCACCCCAAACTCTGGGGGGGAAGTACGCGTTTGGCTATGGACAACAATACCACCAAACAACGGCACAAGTTGACCAGAAAGTGTGGTGCTGTCGGCGCTCAGAATAAACAACTGTTACAACACACACACACGCACAAAAAATATAAGTACAAATAATATGTACATATGAACGTATGCAGACAACGGAATAAAAAGTTGATGTTTTTGGCACTGCTAACCGATTCGCATTTAATTGATTAAATCAAACGTTTCGGTGAGAGCTAAACGCAAAATTGGTGCGAAGGGTGCGTTCAAATATTCAGATTATCGAATTTTTCCCTTAGCAACTAAAAACTCTCTAAATCTGTTTTCCGAATACCCAAAGTTCTTGAAAACACCGATTGATAAAAACACTTTTCATTCAATTCACCGCACGCTTTTTCCTGTCTTTTGTTTTAAAAAATTGCGTACAAAACAGCGCTCTCGACACGTTCAACTTGGAAATAGAGGTGGAGAACTCTATCGATGGCACTATCGGTACTATCGATGGTTGGACTCTATCGAACCAGCCCTCTATCGATGGTTTAAAGTCTCGATAGTGGTCGATAGTTCACATCACTGAACTCAATTTTTGCAAGTTACAAAAAAAAACAAATTCCCGCCAAAGGTTGGTTTAGGCTGGTGTCCAGCACTACAAAAACAAACAATTTCTGAGGTTCGCCACCTCAACTTTGAAATCAGTGTGACTGCGGTGTATCGATACAAAATGCGGCCTGACCTTTAGAAATATACCGCAATATACCAGAAAGTTGTTATAATATTCCAAACTGTTTGTTCATACAAAAAAAATTAACAAACAGAAATTGCTGCATATTTAAAAATGCGATTTAAAGAGTAATACATATTTTCAGGAACAGTTAAAAAATGTTAGCTAGCCAATTACACTGAAATCAAATGGTCATGGAGTATCAACATGGTTTTTCCTAAAATGTTGTATGGCAATGAATAGCGAAGCGGTCACACTGGAAATTAACAACGGCGTTGTAAACAATTCGCGGCTCTTTTTCAGCGCCACGGCAGACGCCACTTTCAAAAAAGTTGAAGAATTCTTGTGCAAGATAAAAATTGAGACATAAATACAATTCAAGTAAGTGAAACTGAGGAAAGCGATACTACGACTAAGAAAATATCACCCCCAGATGCACGCGGATGACAATGTCCTCCAGACAGACAGTGAGCCTGGAATTGCGCGAGTCGCAACTGGCCAAATTGACACATTACTCGGAGGAGATACGCATGCGGGCACTGGAGCAGGTCGAGACGCGCTTCATTCGCTGCCTGTCGCTCGACGAGAAAATCAACTTGAAGCCAGTGTTTATGCTTAAGCAGTTAATACGATGGTTTGGCTGCAAGCCGCTCCTGGCCGCCGACCGCGTGCTGGCCGTTCTGCTGGAATTGCTGCGCTCCGAGTATGCCGACGAAGTGGTGAAGAAGATATCACACGAGCGGCTCTCAGCGGAGTTGGACAAGATCAGGAAAATTGTACGTTCCCAGGAGTCCCAGCGACCCATGGAGCTGCTGGACGATTTGCAGCTTCTACTGCCCGATATATACGAAATCCAAGTACCCCCCATACCGTCGCCATCCTCCTCCAGCGGTCAAGCTGATTCACCGAGTGAGATGGAGTGCAGGTTGCAAGAACAGCTGGAGGCAAGATTCAATCCAGGCGACTTTGAACAGGCTTGGACACAGCCGTGCAGGGAGGATGTGCTCACCATGAAGACGATGATCGACATGGGAGATTCGGAGGACGAAATGAACGAAAAGCTAATCAGTTTGATCATCAAAATGGGCGACTATCCCAGCGAGTACTTCCTCCAGGCGCCACACATTTTCCTCCAGCTTGTAAAGATTCAGCAAAGGGCAGACGCCAATCTTACCAAGGTTAATCATGTCCTTATCAACTTTCTGCTGCAGCTGCAGAACAGCATAAAGACGCGAACAGCCACACTTGCCTGTTACAGCATCTTGGACCCACCGGCGACGCGCCCCAAACAGCTGCGTGTGGAGAGTGCTCTGTGCTTCCTGCTAAGCAGCTGCACCACGCTGCTGCAGCCACTTCTGCTTAAATTTACCAGCCAAAATTGGTTGATCCTGGAACTGATCAAAGAGGCTGTACGCACCTACGCCGCTATGCGTGCGCCCATCTCGTATCTGTTCATAGATCGTCTATCGGGTCTGGTCAAGGAGGCCCAAACATTTTGCTACAGCGCAAAAGGCAACGATGTCGCCAAGCTTGTGGATAAGCTCGCGGTGCCCCGTTTGCATTCGCTCATCTGCAATGGCCTGCTGCATGATTCTATTGAGTTGAATGAAGCCAATGACAAGTCAATCAACGCAAATGAAGCCAAACTACACCGTCAACTGCTCACGATGGACTTTGCCTATTTGCTGTGCATGCCACAGCGGGGATTGTTAGTGAAAAATATAAATTTGGGTGGTATTTCACCTCCCAAAACGATGGATACATCGATGGACAGGCTCCGCATAGCTTATACTTTGGGAGTCGGTTATCTGAAGTCCACCGAAAAGCCGTCAGCAGAGGACATGATCCTAGATCAGAGCACCATCTGCCTGGTTGTCGACCAGCTGGGCAGCAAGACTTTGGTGAAGCAGCTCTTTGAGGCTGTTGTGGAATGCAATCTGATGTATGACAAGAATTCCAAATTGCGTTTGGAGGCCGAGATCTTGATATACAATCTGATGAACCTGCGCGACCGAGAGCTGCGTGGCTACTTCTATAACCTCATGCGGCATCCCTGCAGCTTGTTCTTCCACGCAGTCGCGCAAAAGAGCGTCTATCTGCGGGGCTGCAGTAACCAGAAGTTGATTCGTCAGCGCATCTTTGGCATACCGCTTAACACGACGCTGCTGCGTCAGTTTGTGTTGCAGAGCTGGCTGGACGACGAACCCGAGGGGGTGCAGGCCTGGTGCCTGCAGTATCTAGAACTGCTGATCAACTTGTGCAGCAGCATGAATGGGAACGACTTTTTCGGAATGTACGACTTTCTAGAACCCGTGATGGTTCCCCAGATGATCTCCCGCTCCGTTACGTGCAGTACCCTGCACAACAAATTGTGGAAGCTGACCTGTCCGGATGAAGAAGATATACTTCTGAGGCTGCGAGCTAACATCTGCTATCTATTCCATCCCGATGCTCAGATACGAATTGAGGCTGCGAATCGAATCGCATACATGCTGCAGTGCCCGGATGACTCCGGAAGAAAAACAAAAGTGCATCAGAGGAAATTAGGCTTTGATTTAGGCGTGGTTAGTCCCCCATGGCCGTATCAAAGTATTTTTTCGGCCAGCAGCGACCAACCCTTTCAGGAGGAGCGCAGTTTGGACGCCCTCATGCGGCTATTGGAAACCCAAGACCTGAGGCCGGCCATACGCAAGTCGACATATACTCAGCTAAATGTTTTGCTACAGAACTGGAATTCCTGCAGCTACTTCGCGAAGTCAAAGGACTCATTAATGATGGTCATGCAGGATGTGTACTCTGCCATGGAACACATCAAGTGCCCCGAGCATGCAGACTGCGTACTGCCAGCTCTGAGCCTTATGATGAAAATCCAAATTCACCAGAAAGAGGTTCTGCAGGGGTCGCCCGCATCCAAAGCAATGTATATTGTTATGACGCAGCTCCTCTTTGAGACTACGCACCGTCCGGAGTTGCGTGAGCCTCTCCTTATCTGCCTCTTTCAATTCATCTGCCATGAGCACATGACGGCCAGCGAGTCGAAGCTTGTCTTGGACGTAGACTTGAGTTCTCTGATGGTACCCATAATGTATGACCTTGAACTGACTGAACCGACTTCCATCATCGCGGAGGGACTGTTGCTGGACCGTGCAATTCAGGAGATCCATTTCGGTCAAGATGCCGACCGGACTGCCCAGCATTTGCGTCTGATGGTGGCGGTTTGCACAATCGAAGACCCAGAGAATATTGCACTGGAGGCCGTCCAGAAACTGGACATTAGAAAATCGCTGAAGCTGACGGTACCCGATCTGGCCCTGTTCCAAGCATCGCGGATCGGACCACAGCTGGATCGCCAGCTCACGGCAGCCAGCAACTGCAGCAATCACGAGGAACTCAATCAGATTGTGGCACGAATTCAGACACATCTGGTGCTGCTACGCACTGCTGTCCCCGGGGAGGCGGGAATCAGTCTGTGGAAATTGATGCACAAGTATCTGCGCGCAGCACCGGCCAACGCAGCGGATCGAGAGGTATACATGTCCGTGTCGGAACTATGCCTGAGCTGCATGTGCTTCGGCGTGCCGCCTGTTTGGAACGGACTCAATCAGGCTCTGGAAATGGATACCCACCACAGCTTTCTGCTGCTACTGCACGATCGCACCATCGGACTGGACATGCTTGAAGTGATCTGCCAGATCGTTGTGGTTCTGCTCAGCACACAGACGAAACAACCCGCTGATAGCAGCTGGCACAGCAAGCTCTTTATGCAGCTGAGTGCCGTGGCCAGGACACACTTTGAGTTGCGGCAGCTGCTGCACGTGCGCTGCCTTCTCCGAGTTCTGCATTTTCTCAGCGAGCGCGACCTGAGGCTCAGCGAGGTTCAGCTGATGGTAAGTGTCACAATCTACTTGGACAAAGTTATGATACGATCTCTATCCATTGCAGTACTACATTCGACACTTTTTGCAACTCTCCTCTGATCTGAGGAGCCCCACACAGACTGGATCTCAGTGGCAGCGGGACTGCCTGCACATTGTGTGCCAGCTCCAGGCACGATGCATACCAAATCCCGCAACGAATGCCAAACCCGAGGATAAGGACCACATAGCTAGGAAGATAATCGTCTATCTGGTGGGAATGTGCGGACACCTGGACGGACAAGTGCGTGCGCTGGCTTGGGTATCGCTGGCCAGTTGGATTGCCACTATTGGCTCCTCGGCGGAAAAGGTCTTGGCGCCCGTGGCCTTCCTGCCTGGCGGACTGCTGATCTGCAGTCTGTCCACCATGATGTATGCGGGAGAAACAGTTCTGGTCAGAGAGTTGGCTGGCCGTGTGTTCGAAATGCTGATGCCGCAAATGGACACGGAGAAGATCATCGAGCTGCTGCAGCATCATGACTTCCTGGATGATGCGTATCGCACTTTGCCAACACTTCATGTCATGTCCGCGCTGCCGAAGGACGATGAGGGAACGAAGAGTTCCTGTGGCCTAATCGGCTGTTACGTAGCCATCTGCTCATGTCTGGTGAGCCTCAAGCCGACTTGGTGTCTCACACTCTGTGAGCATCGATTCATGAACTGGCTGAGCGATGTGATGAAGAGGAAGGTGCCACCGAAGCCGCACTTGGATGATTTCCTCGAGCTGTGCGCTGCCATTAGTGATCTCTATGCCATGTGCTACTCTGCCAACTTTGAGTTCTTGCAGCGCAGCATTTGTCGGGACTTCGTTCTGCTGC